AAATCCTTGTAGGCCTTCCAGGCTCCGGCTAAGACTTGGTTCCCCTCCGTGCAAAGCCGTTTGGTGTGCTGACAACTCCGGCTTGAGGTTTACCAAGGGGAAGCCTATTGCCCTCACCCACCCCATGGAGCCCAGCCCTAAGCAACCTGCCCACCTCCCAGGACAGCTTTCCCATCATGTCTTTTAACATAAAGAGAATAAGGTAAATGGGGATTTCACCTCTACAGCAACAATAGCAACTTCCAGCCACATAGCTCTTTGCAGTTTACAATGCATTGTTACTCACCCCCTCTTAGTCCTGTCCCCAAGTCTCTGCAATGTACTAAGCCTGAGAGCAGCTTCCCAGTGGAGGCGGATGTTTGAGCTGCCTCAGATGATGTGAAATCACAGCCTTTGAGGGGAGTAGGGGGCCTGTTGGACACTTCTCATTTTCTAAATCTGTAATTAAATCACTGGCGTTCAATGAGGATAATTTTTGTTTTAAACATAATTGTGCCATGACCAATAAAACTCCCCACCCCCAAACTCTCCCAGTGCTGGGTCTCAAATTTTCCTCCACATTCAGAAGTCAAAAAAAAAAATGTCTTGCCCTGGGCACATGCAACATCATATATTTTAAATGGCTTTTGTTGGCTTGATTCTAATCCTAATTAAACCAGTGCCCATTTGTCCCATCTTGGACTCTTTGAACCCACTCTCAGCTGACTCAGTTCAGCACCAGTTTGATCATAAAGAATGCCAACAAGCTTGGGAAACAAAGAAGAACTTTGGAGGTGACTTTAGGCTTCACAAAAGGATTCTTTACTTCTCCGAAATGATTAGCTTAATGATTAGCTTTCCTGGGAAGTAACCCAAATATTTTTTGAAAAATAACCAAAACAAAAAATTAGATTTGCTCATAATCCCTCTGATTTAAAAAAACATCATAAGGTAAGAGGAAAATTTCTCTACCAGTCTGGGTCCATTCTTCAAAATAAACCACTAGTAACAACTTGTTGCACATTCCACCAAATTTGTTCCTGGGTTTATGCAGACATATACATCCAAAATGCCAGACACATTGGCCTATACCTTGCTTTTTTCCCTTTATACTCACGGACATTTTCCAAGTCAGTACCTGTAGATCTAACACGTTATTTTTAGTGGCTGCACATTATTCCACTGCATGGATATATTACAATAGATTCAACCATTCCCCCATGGATGGGCATTTAGATTATTTACAATGTTTTTGTTGTTGTGAGCAAGGCTGCAACACACGTTCTTGTTTATATATTTTTATATATTTGTTTTATTATTTCTTGTAGGATGGAAGAGTGGGATTGCTTTTCCTCTTGGGGCTAGAACACCAACAGTGTAGAGGTGGGCCCCCATCCCCCTCCCCAGCCCTGTCAACACTTGGGCCAATCTGCTAGACCAAAAAATGTTAATCTCCTTGAGATTTAATTTGCATTTCCCTGACTACTAGTGAAGCTGAGCATCTTTTCATATGTTTATGGACAATTTGCATTTCCTATTCAGTGAATTACCTACTCTTACCCTGGACCCATATTTCTATCAGGCTGTTTTCTATTCAAAGTGTAGGAGCTCTTTGTGTACAGGGATGTACTCTTTGTTTCTTATATGAGACAAGTATTTTTCTATCACAGTGTTGTTGTCTTTTGACTTCGTTTAGGGTGTGTTGTAACTGTAAATTTTAATTTTTATTGTAGTCAAATATGTTAAATTTTTCCTTGTTTCTGGACTATCTGTCTTAGAAAGACATCTATATTTTCTTCTTATCCTTTTACAGTCTTATTTTTTCCTTTTAAATCTTCAATCCAGGCTTTTAAAAACTAATTAATTAATTAGTAATTGGGTAAGACAAGAAGCTGGCTTTACTTTATTCCAAATGAAGAACCAGAAATTTAAAAATTATTTAATCCACAAAAATTTACACATTTTTTAGGCGAGGAGGGACCCAGTGAAGCTCCTAGGAGACACTGTGGTCCCTGAAGCTGGACCTCGAAGATCTTGAACTCATGATCTGGAGAAAACATCTAGATCTCCCAGCCAGTCATGAGTCAGACCCTTCTGAATATGCATGTGTGGTTTATTTTTGTTTTTATTTTTGTTTTAGTAAAGAAAGGATTTGTAGACTAAAACATTCTCCTCCCTCAAAAGTCTCCTTATTTATGAACCAAGCCCTGTGTATAACCCCGTCCTATCTGTTGGTCCATCTTAGGTGTCTCCCTCAGCACAGCTCTCTGAGGCTGTGCATTAGCTCATCTCTGTTCTGAGTCTAGACAGTAGATGAGTGCTGAACCAAACCTTGTCTTGGAAGCCATCTAAAGATTTATTTAGTGTGTGTTCACATAGTCTGAGAGTGTTTCAACCTTTTTAAGAGGAATTTGCAGGTTTCTCTACAAGCATACTAGGAGCCAGCAGCAGGTTTCTCCACAGTCTTTTATCTTTCTATTTGCAAATGAAAGTACCAATAAATACTTGTTGAATTTTATCATTCTGTTAACCTTCAAATTCAGACTTGTCAGTAATTACAGGCTTGCATTAAAAGGTGGAGATTAGACAGTGAGGTCCAGGAAGGATATATGATTTGCTGGGAGGCACACAGAGGAACCAGGTCTCTGTCTCCTTGTCCCCTCTTTTTCTGCTACTTTTTGTCCCTTAACAGAGGACAAATGGCGCTGTGAAAGGCACAGTTTTGGTCAGGGGGCAAGGGTAGGATTTTTAAATGTTGTAGCAGAGGCCACCTTTGTCCATGTTAACAGTCCTGCCATTTTGGTGAGAGGGTAGGACAGGCAATTCTGAGTGCTGTTTCTGGGGCTACTGCTAGGGGCCTGAAGAAGGTTCTGGAGTGACACTCATTTCTCTCTCCCTCTGTTGCTGATAAACAGAAACTATCTCTGAAGAGCTGGCTGTCTTAGAAGGACTCATTCAGGGATCTCTGCCTTGAACAATATCGTCAAGTACTTACTGTATACAGGTACACTGCTTTGCTTCGAGGGTGCCCCTCCGAGCAAAACAGATGCGTCCTCTTCTCTGGGTGCTCACGGATCTAGTGAGGGAGACAGTGCCTGTTTCCCCATGGTCTCATGGGGGAAGCGGGCATTAAACAAATACTCCCAGGAATCTGTAATTACAAATGGAGGTTAAGTGCTCTCAAGGAAAATCTAGGATGCTTGGAGAGAATATAACAGGAAGGCTTGGTTTAGATTAGGGGGCTAGGGAAAAGCAGAAGTGGGGGTGTAAAGGGCTTTTGCAAAGGTGAAGTGTTTTACATATATGAGGGAAATAATAATAATAAAGGTGTTTGGAACGGTGGCTCATCGGCATTCATGGGCCACTTCCTAGAACTCTGGGAATCTGCCTCTCTTCCCAGAATTATGTAGGCATCCTGGCCAAGCGAGAAGAGTCTTCACAAATGCTAATGTGAGCACTTTACAGGCTGCCCCCTGACCCTCTGCATCCTCACCCGTAACTAGTGTGAATGCTGAGGTGAATGGGGGGGATGAGTGGCATTTCCACTTTGGAAAAAGAGAGGTGAACAAGCTTTCCCACTCCAATCCGGGGGCCAGGCTCCCTGACTCCAAAACATCCGAGGAATGTTTTTCAATGCAAAAAGCCCACCTCATTGTGTCTTTGGTTGTGAAGGGGGCTGCCAGGAGCCCGGAGTTGTTCCTGGGGAGTTTGGGGGTAGGGGCAATAATCTCTGATCCCATCACCCCTCCAAACACACCGGTAGGAAAGCCTGACCAGAGTAAAGAGGATTTGATAGTGGCAAGTGCGATGGGAGACCGCAAATGCTGCCGAAGGGGGTGTTATATTCCCCCCGGAAGAATCTATCATGACTGGTAATAACAATAATAGCTGACACTCACACATATGTTCTGGCACTGTTCTAAGCGCTTTCATAACTCTTAATTCTCAAAGCAACCCTATGAAGCACCATTACTAGCTCCATTTCACAACTGAGGAAACTGAGGCACAAAGAGGCTAAGTAGTGATGGCAGCTTTCCTGTTTGCCTCCAACAATTTGGAGTCAAGGTTTCTGAGTCGAGGTTTGGTCTCCAGGAGGGGTGGACCGCAACTCCTATGTGAACCTGATCTGCCTCTCCATCATTCAGGAAAACGCCCGCTTTGAAAAGGCTAACGTGGGAGCCCGTGGGGACGGCTGCAGGAGTCTCACGCCCATTCCCTTCGGAAGCCAAGCCGAGCCTCCGTACCCCTCCTCTGCGCAGCGTGAGGACTGGCTGACTGCCGCGGGGGCGGCGGGAGAGCTGCCGGGTGGCCCGAGACAGGGCCCAGCAGCTCCGCTTTTTGCTCGGCCTCCGCGAGGTGTCGCCTTCGGCCGAAGAAACCACCACGGCGCCACCCTCGTAGCCAGCGGTTATTTATTTATTTTCAAACAAGGGGGGCGCCCCTCTCCTTTCAATTTAAAACTAGAAACATCCTGCAGTCTTGTTCCCAAATGGGCGCGTCCTCTTTCCTCACGTTTTGCACCCATGTTCTAACCTCCCTTCGAGATCACACACGAGCAACCGCTCCGCAAGCCCTTGTTCGACGTCGGCCTCGCGCTCAGCTGCACACAAACGCAGTCAAGGCGGGGACTGGGTTAGGAGCCTCCGTACCCCACCCCCTTTAATACCTCTCCCGAAATTTTTTGTTTAATGCCAAGCGATTGCCAGGCCCGCAGGGTGGGTGCCGCATTGCACCGCTCGGCGCGCAGCTGGTTCGCAGAGTGCACCCGGTGCAAGCCTGGGGGTCTAAAAGGGCGGGAGGAGCAGAGCCCGGGCTTCCCAGCTTTGCAAGCTCCTCTCTGCAAAGAAGAAAAGCAAGTGGCTTTTGGCGCGAAAGCCTTGGCGCCTCCCCTGATTTTTATGGAAATCAAGAGGGCGGGGTAAAGCCGCTTTCCTCTGCCTTTCTCCCTCCCCCGTCTGTGCCGCAGCCCCCTTCTCTCCCCGCCCCCCGGGTGTGTCAGATTTTTCAGTTAATAATATCCCCCGAGCTTCAAAGCGCAGCCAGTGACAGTCATCTGTCTGGACGCGCTGGGTGGATGCGGGGGGCTCTTGGGAACTGGGTTGGAGCCGAGCTAGCGCTAGCCAGGCGCAAGCGCGCACAGACTGCAGCCACCCGAGGACCTCCCCCCGCCCAGGCCACCCGGGGACCCCCGCACAGAATCGCTTCTGGATCCCTGGCAGTCGGCGGGAGGTAAGGAGCTTGGGTTGCAAGCCGCCCGGCGCCCCGGGAGCTGCGAGTGCGGCGGGAAGACAAGCCGCGGACGGGATCTCGCCTTGCGCACAGGGCACCCGAATATGCCCGGGGGACTATTTCTGCTTCCGAAACAAAACCATCTCGGGGTTTTCCCTGAAAAGCCAGCTCCAGCCCCAAAGGCACTCCGACTGGAAGAGACCCGCCCTAATCCTTTTACTGCTTTTGCCAGGGGGGTGTAATGGCTTCACCGAAAAGAAATTCGCCCTTCTCTAGAACGTTTGTCTGTGTTTGAGCTGAAGGGGAGCCGGTGCGTCCCCACCTCGAAGCTGGGGTTCTTCTCCAAAGGGTGCCCTGAGGGGAAGAAGAGGGAGGTTAGGCAGGGCGAGGCCACCGCCGTGGTAATCTGGGTCACGGCTGGATCGGAGGAGACGCGGCTCTCCCGGCGACTCCCCCTGCGCCGGCGCCCCTGCACCATTCCCGGGAACTGGGGTTCAGGGTCTCCCCCTCCCAGGAAGAGGACGTTGTTGGGGGTTTGGAAACGCGGGGGTGGGGTTAGAGAGGTTCAAAATGAGCTATTGGCAGGACTCTCCTGCAGCGGGTGAATGCTGAGGGTCGTCTGCTCATATTTGGGGGGGTTGGTTTGTGGATTTGGGTGCCTGTTGTTGGTCTTGGTCTAGAGAAAGGATTTTTCCATTTGCAAAGTTTCCTAAATCCCTCGCTATGCCATCTCTTGCACTCTCGAGGTTGCAATTTTACAAAGAGGGGATTGAGGGTACTCCAAATCTTATGCCCGGTAGCTGGGTTGGAGCCCTGGGCTGCTTTTGAGCAGCTGGCCCTTCATTGGTGCAACCGGGGTTGTCGGCGAGCTGATGAGAGGTAGAATTCTGCAGCCCTGAACAGCCCCCTCCCCCAGGCAGTGCCTTGTGTGAATGAAATGGCAGTTTGCAAAGTTGCAGAGCCTTGCCACCACCCCCCGCATCTGCATGCCCCCTCCCACCCCCTGTCGTAGACAGCTTGTACACAAAAGGAGGGAGGGAGAGAGCGAGAGACAGAACTTCCTACACCTTCGGGAGCACAGGGCCGAGTGGAGGGCTTGGAAGGGAGATTGAGGAACGGGGTTAGAGGGGGTGCCCACTGCCTGTTCCCTCATTCGGCTGCGCTCACCAACCGTCTCCTGGTGTGTCTGTCGGTTGCAGTGTCGGAGGTTGGCGCGGGCCCCCGCCCACCGCGCCCCCCACGGGAAGGAAGCAGCCCCCGAACTAAAAAGAGCAGAGCGGAAAGAAGCTCTCATTCGCCGGCCAGGAGGCGAGCCGATGCCGAGCTGCACCGCGTCCACCATGCCGGGGATGATCTGCAAGAACCCAGACCTCGAGTTTGACTCGCTGCAGCCCTGCTTCTACCCGGACGAAGATGACTTCTACTTCGGCGGCCCCGACTCGACCCCCCCGGGGGAGGACATCTGGAAGAAGTTTGAGCTGCTGCCCACGCCCCCGTTGTCGCCCAGCCGTGCCTTCCCGGAGCACAGCCCGGAGCCCCCGAACTGGGCCACCGAGATGCTGCTGCCCGAGGCCGACCTTTGGGGCAACCCGGCGGAGGAGGACGCGTTCGGCCTGGGGGGCCTGGGCGGCCTCACCCCCAACCCCGTCATCCTCCAGGACTGCATGTGGAGCGGCTTCTCGGCCCGCGAGAAGCTGGAGCGCGCCGTGAGCGAGAAGCTGCAGCACGGCCGGCCGCCCGCCGCGGGGCCCGCAGCCCCGGCCCCGGGAGCGGGAGCCGCCCTCCTATTCCGCCC